AATTCATATCCAAACAACAGATAGAAAGCTAAAATAGATAATAGCAATAAGATGTGATGCTCCACGTCATACAGGATTAGCTTCTCATCACAGACACATAGTTTTTGTTGATTAAAAGCAAACATCAGCATCTCCCATTGCAATTAGGAGCTGGCAACCAGGGAATCATGCATTGCAGTTCTGGTCTATTTGCCACGCATTTGGACTTTTTCTGACACCTTGCTACACAAGAGTCTCTGACTGTAGGTGAGCAGCTAAGTTTATACACAATTCAGGACTACTTGTAAGGGGACAAGAGAAGAACTTGCTTACCTGGCTGCTATGAGAAACTAACTGGAGAGATGCATATACCCAGGATTTAGACACCTGATATTTGGCAGCAGGAAAGTCACAAACTGGTTTTGAGTCTGGGCAGCAATGTTCTCTTTCAAAGAAAAAGAAAATGCTGTGGACTAAGGTAAGAGAGAAACAGGTTTTACCTTTTTTAACTCCATCCTGAAGAGAAATTATTTTATTATATATTCATTTTAAATAAAAGCAGCTGCTCTCTGACCACCAACTAGAATACAGAGCTCCCTCTCTGTCCTTAAACACCATGTTAAGAAGTCATTCTCAGTCTTGGGTTTTCTATCTCTACTCCAGAGAGGCCCTGATTCTCTACATATCTGCCAGCATTTCCAAGGAAACTAAGTAAGGATAATGCTGCAAATTTCTGAAGCAGCAATGAGGGCAAATTCTGTATTTATACTGAACTTGACATGATGTCACCCAAAACTGCAAAATGGCTCAATTGAAATGATCAATTCCTCATCCTCAAAATAATGAAGCAGAACAGAATGCAGCCTGTTTATACAATTTCTTAATTTCCCTCAGAGTTCCTCCAGCTATGTGTACACTTTGCTGTTCTCTTAGGGCCATTGGCAAGCTGCGCCAAGCAGGTGGATTTCTGTCCCTCTGAAGAAAACCCATGGAATAGCAAGGGACTATTCACAGCAGCCTGACTACCTAGACTGCTTCAGCACTGCTTTCATTCGTCCTCACAGGCTTGCATCACTTTGAAATCTAGTAACGCAAATAACAGCAAATCTCCGTCTGAAATCTTGAGAGGTTTATAATGAATCCCATTTTTTAATCCTTGGTCCAAGTTGGTGGTGTGGGTGAACCACACAGTGAAATATCCCAGTAGAGCCGACAATATATCAAGAGTCTTGGAGACAACATCAGAACTGAATGTTTTTTTTTAACCCCTACAAACATGTAAATAGTAACATTAAAAAGAACTTACCATAAACTAGACTTCCACAAAATGAGAGGCATCAATGTTTTGGGGCTGTTGCAGTCATTAACTTTTACATACCTGGCTTGACTCACAACAGTTAGCACTAAAGCAAGGATAATGGGATACACTACAACGTTCCAAATGTTATGGGAGGGACCAGAATATTGTGACCCACTCTTTGGGAGTGCTGAGATTAAAAATATGCCAAAACCATCAGATTTTCTAACAGCTGCGTCAGTTAGAAAGATCTGCATGATTTTCATCAGTGCTGCTATGGAATCAAGGGGACCCAGATTAAAACCAAGCATGAGTATGACTAAAATCATACATACAGTCTGCAGGTTTATTTTTAATGCAAGAGGACAGTAATATAGTGACCACTGACCAGTACTTGTTCATTACACACATGTATTGAAGTGTCTCAGTTATTAATATTATATCTCACAGGTCTAACTCAAGTACAAGTTTCAGTTCTTGAGGAAATCACCAATGAACAGGAAAATTATGAAATCACTACTTGGAGAATTGAACATGAAAAATTTCAGCTAGATTCAAAAAATTGAACATTGCTTAAATTTTACATAAAAGCCATACACATACACGTATTAAAATGGCAGTTTTGCTTCTACACCATGGCTTAAACCACTTATCCTGTAATCCTGACAAGAGGAGTTGTCAGCGGTGTTTTTTATTTGCTAGATCACATTTTGTATCATGTTATGGCAAGTAATGTACTTTCAGGTTTTGAGTTCTCTCCACAAATGGGAACAGTCTAAACACAGAAATATTTATTCAATTCTTTATCACTCTTCTTAGCATAGTGGCATTTTAATGTGCCACAACAGTGTTACTCACAATGCAATAAGCTTTAAAAACGTAGCATTTTTAACCTGGAAGTGTTATTTTAATGGCTGAACAACAAGGACGGGGGCATGGAAAGAAAGGGTTGACTGTACTATAATGATACAATATCAATTAACAATAGTCACCAAACTGTACCATCTCGGGCCTGCTGAACAAGGCTGAATCTGCTGCAAACATAATCCAGAGATCTACAGGAGAATGATGGAAACCACCAGTTTAGTAGGTTTTATTTAGTGCTATCATATTTCACCACATTAGAAAACATGAGTGCTTTAAACAGGTGACTTTACCAGGTAAGCACATTATCAAAATTTGTTTCATGAATATATATTTTTTAATAATACACTAGTCTATAATAACCTACAACAGTAACTCAAACTGATGTTATCTAAGAAATGTAAGATCCAATATAATTCAATTGAATACCAATCTAACAATTTTCATGCAAATTACTTTACTCCATCGTGCACATACCTTTATCTCTGGAGATCATTCTCAATTTCCTTTTCTGTAGCTTTTCTGGCCCTACACTGCATTTTGTTAATATCACCACTGAAGCTAAAGACAGTATTTCAACTCTTAAGCCTATCAGAAAATTATAGTTAGATTTATACCGGCCTTAGTCACACAACTTCGCTTTCCAATGATTTTTCAAAGTACTTTACCATAAAGACTAGAAAGTTCAGACAAGACACCAGCATTATTTTTAGTCTATTCTAAATTTTAAACTTGTTCTTTAGTCTATTAATAACCTTTGAACAAGGAAGTTCATTAGAAGGAAGGCTGTTAGTGCATCCTAAATTGCCAAACTCTCCCTATTTTATGTCCCAGTTGCTTATAACTTTGCAAACACTAAGTGCTTGGGCTGAAATTTTCCATGCCATGTCTGTGTCTCAATCTGAGATGTGTTGGAAAATTTAATCTAAAATAAATAGAATGATTTCCAAGAATGAATGTTGGGGAAAAACATTCTGTATTACTGGGCGAGGGAGGGGAGGGAGAGAAGGGAAAAACAATCAAGAGCTCTTTTCATGCAGAGCCCTGAAATTGGCAGGAAGGGATAATTTTGTTTAGAATTACAGGTTTTTTTTTTACTTTCTCTGTGAAAATCAACTGAGTATGGACTACTTAAAAACCTTTCTAAAACTGCTGCCTATGTGAATTTACTGCCTGATGGGCTGAGATCAGTCCTATGCAATTCTGGTGTGTACAGTAGGTGCCCCAGCCCAAAAGCTCCAGAAACAATCCTGGAATGTGCTCCTGCAAGCCCTTGGCCCCAGACACTCTCCTGTCTTGCTCTGTTACACCGAGGTGAAACCCATTACACCAGTTCTGTGCAAGAAGGAAGCAGAAGCTGGAAAAAGAGGTGGGATGGAATTGCTAACAGAGTCATTAAATAGCATTTCAAGGTGACCTGAGGACCAGACAAACTGCAGGAGAAGGTAATGGGGCCCTTTGCAATTTGATGTGGGGTTAGATTCTTCTTGCCCCAAATCTGGAGTGCAGTTCCAGCAGCCAATAATCATTGGCAATTACATCCACACTGAGATTTCCATTTCTGCTTTGAGCATTCCTAGGGTGAGTTTGTCAACAGAACATATGGTATCTGTCTCTCCAGTACTTTAGTGACTTGCTCCCACCAACACATTGGAGGAAGCTGGTTAATTCAGGAGTCAGAAGAGCAAGAACTAACCCTGGAGCAGCAGGTTCAACGCCTACAGAGAAAGGGAGTCAATGGGAAGAGAAACCTGGATTAGACTGGTAGTGTTTGAGTCTGTAGGGACAAGGGAAGACTGCAATGCTCAAAAAACCCCATATAGCACAGATGTGGCATCTCCAACTTAGATACCCAAATGACTCCAAGAGGCAAGGCTGTCCTGCCATCAGCCTTTCAAATGTACAGGGATACTCATCTTCATAAGCCACAAGAGAAAAAATGGGCAGAATTTCCAGATTCATGATGGGAAACAAACTTTGGGTCAGGGTCAGCCATGAAGAATGGACAAAATTCCATCTTACCTGAACTTGGTTTTTTAATTGTATAAGTTGCTGTTGCTTCCTGTTTTGGTGTTTTAGCTGGCTTTGCTCACATATTTCACAAAGTCCTGGCACAGCTATTATGGCTTTGTCCTGGGCTGACTTTATGATGCTGAATTGTATCCCCATTTGTATGTTTAGCCCAGAAATAGGTTTCACACCTTTCAGACTGGTTCTGAGAGCAAAAGGGGAGAGAAGAAGCGCACAGTTTGTTTTCAGGAACTGCACTCACTCCTGCACATTCTGCTCCTGGACTGTGTTGTCTGCAGGACGGACAGACAGCAGGACAGGGTTCTATGTGGCAAGCACATTTCTCTCCCTCTTAGGATTTTTCATAGAGGTGCACAGAGAGAAATGAAAGAGAAAAATATTTCTATTTCTGCTCCTTGTTTTTCCTATGGAAAATGTGTCTAGAGAATTGTTTACCTATAGTGAGTGCTTGATTAGATTCTGGTGAGGATTGTTTGAGCCTGATGACCAATCCAATCCACCTGTGTGTAGACTCTCAAGAGAGTCATGAGTTGTATTAGAGAAAATAATATGTAGTTTTAGTATCTTCCTTTTTATATAGTATATTAATATATAGAGTTAATATATAGTTAATTAATAGTATAGTTAATAGTTATACTTATTAACTATAATTATAGTTATAGTTAATTAATAGGATAGTTATAATAAAGAAATAATTCAGCCTTCTGAATTGAGTCAGACATCGTCATTTCTTCCCAGTGGGTTTGCCTACATTTACAATAGCTCTCCTTTGCTTTTAGTCAGTTTTTAGCTAGCTGAGGGAGAGAAGCTCCCTGGGCTGTGGTTTTTCTTTTTCTTGGACCTGTTCAAACCTGCTCTGGACTGAACACCAGCAGAGCACCGGCAGCTCGCACCTGTGGCCCACGGGGCCGGGCCTGGGCCGTGGCATTTCCAGCACTGCAGGGACTGATCAGAGACTGGGTGAGCTGAGCTACAGCCACCAAGGGGACTTTCTGAGCTTGTCACCTCTTCTGGTTGGCAAGAGTTCATTGTTTAATTTTTTTTTTTTTTTTTTTCTGGTGAATGCTTTGCCTGCTAAATAAACAGCGTTTTTTTCCACTTTTCTCCAAGGAAATATTTTCCCAAACCATTTGGGGGAGGGGCTGCTTGAATCTGCTTTCTAGAGGAGCCTCTTTGGAGGTTTTCTCCCACCCACATTTGCCCTAAACCAGGACAGGCTTTTGAATCCCCTTTGTGCTTAGCAGCCTCTGATGTCTTCACAGGAGCAACGTACAGTCAGAATCAGTCCAACAGAGTCCAGAACATTACTTTCTCCTTCAAAGGCCTCTGGTGCAGATGGAAAGCTTTTGTTGTCTGTGTCATAGATATCTGGCTGCCATCACTGACAATATTCAGAAACTGAAGATGTCTGGGGTGTTGTGGTAAAAGAAAACTGTGAATGGAGAGGTATTTTTTAGGCATTAAGTTCAAGGCAAAGTCACAGAGTTTACTTACTGTGGAGAAGTGATGGAAATTAGAGAATAAAGGACTATATCTGCTCCCGCTGTAGAGGTTCTGTATGGTGGGAGGAAAAAAATAATCATCTTTTCCACAGCTGGACATGTAAGCATGTGTGCTTGTTTTCTGACTGGACATTCAAGATCATCATCTGAGGGATTGCCAAGCTGTCACAGATGGCTCTGCAGTAACTGGGAATTGTAGCTTAGGCATATAAAGTGCTGTAATAAAGCAATGAGCTCTTGAAGCTCGGGAACCTTAAATTCAGCCTCTGACATTTGTGAATGTTTTTCACCTCAGGTAATTCCTATGAAAGACAAGCAAGTTGTTTGGCAGACTCACCAGTTTAAGAAGGACCATGGAAGGGTGCTGTTGTAAAGCAGGGATGCCCGTTGTTACCTATGACTGTCATCCACTGTTTTAGTTGGGTACAAGAATGGGCATTTGTGTTTATATGAAACTGTTAGACTGTGTGAGTGAATGAAAGCACCTTCAAAAAACTATCTTCTCAAAGTAACAGTATATATCACACACACAAAAAAAACAAAAACAAAAAAAACCCCTAAAAACCTCACACCAGAATAATAAACTGAAGAAAGGAGAAAAACCATTTTACTACATGTTCTATTAAATGCTGCCTCAAAAATAACTTGTCCTCATTCCCTTCAAAAGCTACCCTGCATACAAAGGAAAGAGTGGAGTTTTTTATAGTTTGCAGCAGCAATAATATTCCAATCAGAGCATCTTTGAAAGTCATCCCAATCTTACTTTGAATTGTGGATAGATACACCTATCTTTTCATCTGGAAGAATTGTCAGTGAATCATACAAGTTACTGCACTTCTGTTATAATCATTAAGAGTAGAATTAGACTTTCATCTGAACAAACACAATTCTCAGTCATGTCAATCTTGATGCTTAAAAGAAGAGTTAAGCTAAACTAGGTAACAATATGTTTAAGTGGTTTTCTTTCCTGCTCAACTAGCTCAAAATGAACAGTCCAATTTTATTCTTTTTTCTCCTCACATAAGTGCATGAAAGATCTACACAATTTAAGCATTGCATAGTCCTTTTTTTGGTTGTTCAATTTGAAATAAGTATTTTTATTGACTCAAAAAATATGCTGAAGTAGAAGAGAAAGGACTTAGTGCCATTGAACATTGTCCTCTCTCTTTTATACAAGGACTTTACTGACCTGTGTAAAAGTTAGTTTTTGCTTAACTCTATAGGATTAATATGTTCATAAGCTAATGAATACTTCAGTAATTTAGGATACATATATGAACACAATAAGAACAAATCTTAAGTTTAAAAATTAGGGGCTCTATGGTCATGCACTTCAGTAATTCAATGCACTAGTGATTTATCAATGCAGAAGAATTCTCTCTGGTGGCATAGCCAGAACCACTTGATGAAGGTTTCTGTTTCACAAAGGAAATGCTCAATCAGTCATCGTGCCTGAGCTAACTTGGAGGCTAACTTCATTTCTTGAATGTCTCAGGTAAGAGCTTCATCTCTCAAATTCATCTTGCACAATTCTTTACACTGATATTGCTTGTTTAGAAATTAAGAAGGAAATTGGCAATGGCTACCATGCATATAAACTTTGTTAACTGCTTAAGGAACCTTAACATGGTTAAGTCTTTTTAGTGAGGGAAGAAATCTTAACTATGCTAAGACACTGTAGATGCTTAAGTCTCCTTAGGAATTTAGAGTAGCCCAGCCATGCTAAGGCACTAAGAGCTTAAAGAAACATTAATTGGTTAATAAGCCATAAATTCTTAACCAATCTTAAAAGAGTTAAGCATTCTAATCCTAAATGCTTGATTCTTTTATCCAGTCAAAACAATCAATGAGATCAAAACTGTGAGCTTCTGAAGTTCAGTATAACTTTCCTTTGTATAGCTGAGCTGAAGTCTGCAACCAGAGTCTGAATCCATGCTGAATCAAACCTTTATGGCCAGGGACTTCAGCCTACTTGAAATTAATATTTCTCTGCCCTGTGGATGATTTGTACTAAGAGTTCAGTTCTAAACACTGGTTACCCGAGATGTTATCCAAAGCTTTTTTCTCTCTTTTTTTTTTTCCTTATATTTTATACTAGTTAAAGTGATTTACTGACCCTTCCTGGTTTAATACCATTCGGCCAAAAACTCAGTAGAATATTGTTTTAACAGGGCAGTCACTATAAATAGAAATCTCTGACTGTGGGGTCAGTAAGCCAGAGGGAATGTGAAGATTAGGGCAATGTTCCAAGAAAATTTATAGAATGAAGTTAGCCAGACTAATTTAAAATACTATGTCTCAATTACATATACATACACATATATATATATGTACGAGAAAATAAGCATATTTATTAGAAAGCAGAGACTTGCTTGCAATTTTAGTAATTATTTCAGGGTGAAGAGAGCTTTTAAAACCACCTAATACATTTGGGTAGACTGATCCTATACACTGCTGCTTTACTGGTAGCAACAGATTCCCCTCATACACATCAGCATCTCATTAAAGGCAATGCTGTTTGTATGTTTTCTGACTTCTTGTAGAAAACTAGTTTATAACCAGTAAGAGATGGTCATTAATAAATAGTAAATTGTGGACGCTACTCAGGGCTCCTTGGTATAGAAGGGTTCTACACACATCGCCCTACATTTGTCAGACAATCTCTAACTGTGGCTCTATTGCCAGTAAAAGGTTACACTGCATTTTTGCAGTTTTGAAGTGAATCAAAGGGCATGACCAAAGAGCAGTTATGCTTCTTATGAACCTCTAAACTAGGTTTGAGGGATTTTCTCCTTTTTGTGTGCTATGGAAGCCCCTTAAGCAGCAGCAGTTCATAGCCAGGTATGGTGTGACATAATGCAGGGGAGAAAACAGACAATGAATGAAAACACCCATCAGGTTTGGTGTCACTGAAAGAAGATGCAGTAGACAGTTTTAAGGCCTTAATGAAAAAAAGATGAAGAAAATTATGTAACATTAACCCTATTTAATGCAATTCTCAGCTAGAGAGTTGTGAGTACATGGACAAGGGAACAAAAGTGCGTCCAGAGAAAGCAATCTCCTTCTGGGGCTACATGGAGGGTTCACAATGAGGGAGAAAGCCAAGGAAGCCAATTACCAAACACTGAACTTCCTGGATGACACATTATCATAGCATGCCTGTTTTTGACCTGCTGAAGTGGCTCCACATGGCCTCAGAGCTTTCTGGCATTACCAACTGTAAGTTCTCCAAAGTGCCAGTCAGTCTTCAAAATAGGATGACTTTAAAATAGTTGTGCTTGCAAAAAAAAACACCTTACATGCTTTTTTGATTACATTCTCTATGTTCAGAAAAAAAGTCAAAGTTTGTTTCAACCCTCTTCTCTACAACCATCTAAACTAGAAATCACAATTAAAAATACATTGTTTAAAGAGGCAGCATTCCCCTCTTCTATCACTTCTGTGGAAGGGCTGGGACAAACGTGCAGTTTACACAAGCTAATCTGTCTAGCTCTGCCCTGTTACAGTCAGTTTTACTGGAACAAACTGTAATTATGCCCTTCATTTAATGTTTGCTCTTACCTGGGTGTAACTCGGCTTATTAGTGCAATTGCCATGGATTTAACAAATTGCTCCAATCAGATGCGTCTGAGGCCTGCTGGAGGCAAGGCAAGAATCATTACTACTCTTTATTATACTTAAAATTCGTATTTAAAAATAAAATATACTTTTCATCCAGCAACTTATAATTCTTAAAACTTTGAAGTCTAAGAAGGCATTGCAAGTTATACAATACCTGCCCATTACAAGTTTCCTGGATTTTGAACAAAAACATTTAGGCATTTAAAAATTGCAAAGCAAATCTCTGTTAAAAAGGATAAATACCTTTGAAAACAGGTTGTTATCCCAAAGGCTTACACTCCCTAAATAGCTTGTAAAAGTACTTATTTTATTTTATCTATTTGTAGATACTTTTGAGGGACCATTTATGCTTTTTAGGTATGAGAACAGACTAATTTTTCCAGCCTTTATTTTCACTGCAATTAGATTAAACTGTTTCTAAATTGCCAGCTACTGAAGTTATGTATTATAAACATAAATATCACATACACTCAGAGACATATATACACTTGGAGCTTCTCTTGGCTGGTGTGAGGAAAAAGATGGAGGATAAACTGTCAAGATTGTCTCTGGTGAGAGACTGTCTGAGCCATCAGCTGCCCAGCACACCCAGGTAGGTTCCTGTTCAGCCTCACTCCAGCCTGTTTGGTTTGAGCAGAGCTCAGATTCCTTCTTGCTAATCCTTTCTAGCCAGTTTTGCCATGTTATAGTTTATCTGTCTATTCACTTTTCCCAGGCTAAACTGATTCAGGTTGCTCAGGAAATTTTTCTGGTTTGGTTTGGCTTGGGTTTTTTTGGCTCCTTGTGGCATCAATTTGAAGTCACATTTCCTCCACCCTTTACATGATTATTGCCACTACAGAGACTTCTGGACTGTGAACAACTGCAGCTACAGTTACAGTGTTTTTCCTGGAGCTTTTGGGAAAAGATTGAAGAGAAACAGATCATCGTGTACTGGAATCTTTTCCTTTCCTTCTACCTTACTCTGCTAAAGGAATAGCATCTCCCAGATATATCCAATACCGCACTTGTGTACCAAATGCTGATGGGTTTGGATATTTGTAGTTAACAAAAAATGGTTGAGCCCTGATATTTACTCAGTGTCAAAGCCAAATTAGTTGTTTGATGGTAGGAGCTACTCAACAGGTGCCGAGGCTGAAACTGTTAAGAGTCTGTGAATGCTATTTTGTTAAAATAAATTGGTAACTCTGTGTATTTAACAATTGCAATTAAGCATCTGAGAGCGGCTGAGGCTAGAAACCCACTATGCATTTGTTTTCTGTTTGCACTCAGCAGGTCTCATTTAGGTCATTATTGTTGCCCGTATTCAGCAACAAGAGACAAATAATGAGTTTCTTTCTTTTCAGAAAGGTCACTGTTTGTGTTTCTACTTCTGATATGAAAATTTATACTTTGAATTCTTGATCCATTTCCTTATTGTGACAGTTTTTATACCTCCCTATGGCTATTTATAAAATAAATGTGGGGATTTCTTTTTATGGCATGGTGACTTTTCCCAGCTATTTGCTAGTTACCTGATGCCATGAGGAAAATAATGGATAGTGTAGAGATCTAATGAATTCCAATGCATACTTATATTCTAATGAAGTCCAGGACTTAGTGCACAGTTGAGTACTTGGCTGTGTGTAGGAGAAAAAATACAATTATAAAAAGCATGCAAGCATAAAACTTAAACAGATTCAAATACATAGTGTCAGATGTAATCTCTGGAAAGATGTACATATTTTACCAGGGATATTGCTTTTACTTAATAGTTGCATTTAATTCCTAATTTACTCTCTTGTGACATACCTTCTTTACATTATACATATATGCAGAGAGGGGAGAGACAAGCATATAAAATAGGTTTGCAAGACTTTTCTAGCAGCAGGCATGCTTTTTGTCTTCTGTAACATCAAACAATACTAGCCTGTTGTATATTTTCCTAGAAGACTTAGGTGAAAAAACAAACTTCCACTTGTGCAATTTTCACAAGCAAAAGGAAAATAGAGTTAACATTCAAATCCTATGCTGGGGCTGAAATGAGTGAGCAGTGTTGCCTTGTTCCAAGGATGCCATAACAAATAAATGCTAGCACAGAGCAGTACACTGCAGTGTCCAGGGCCCCTTTGCTTTCTGCCCCAGACTTTTCTCTGGTGAGGATTTACATTTCTGGGCCATGATGGTGTTGAGGCTGTCCTCCATCTCTGAGCCAGTGTAGGCTCTTCACAGCATCTGGAAGACTGGCATCACCACACACAAAGCTGTGAGCTGCCCATGAGGCACCCAACCTTTAAACTGAGGAAATAAGTTTAGGTTACCTTGCTTAAATTGCATCCTTATTTTTCAATACCATTAACATTTAGAAACTCTTACACAAACCATAATGTAGTTGATTATGGACCAGAGTGGCTCATCTTTGGTTCCCAGTAAGACTCACCTATTTAACGTCAATATAGAATGGATTGGAGTAAGAGAAAACCGTGCCCGGAAAGGAAGAAATTGCACATATGAGGACTCCAGGTCTATCATACTACATCCATTTAAACCTAAGGTAGAATTTTATATAATGAAAATCCAAACCCCAAAAATAAAACCCTGGCAGCATGTCTTGTTAGCTAAATCAACATTTTTACTTCTAGAAGTTCAGAATCATTCAACATTCAAACATTCACCTACAATCAGGGCTGCAATAAACTATACATAAATAAATAAATAAGACCCACCAAACCAAATCCACCCCATGAAAACACCTTTTCAAAAGTGAGGTTGTCATGAATGTGGCAAGTCAGACCTTTAAAGTCTTTTCAGCTGTGCCAGAGGTGTGGAAAACAATCCCTTTAAGACAATATTCCAGACAAAGACTTTGTGGTGATGCGGGGGTTAATTACAAACAACAGAGGTTCATTATCCATGCCAGAATGTTGTGTTCTCACACAAAAGGCGCTCTCACTTGTTAAATGTCTAGCCTAGACTATCAGAAATTGCATTACACTCGCTGCCCCTCCCCTTATTCCCGGACTTTCTTACTCAGGCCTTTTTTTTCCCTTCCTCCCATCTCTATTGAAAGACAGTAATTAAACACTAAAGCCTCTCAGTTTCTGCAGCACTGCGGGGGAACTCCTCCCTGTAATAAGCACCAATTACTGGCTGAGACTGCAGCTGATGAAGGATTATCCTCTCACTGAGCTACGGCAAGCTCTAGAGCATAATCTTCAATTAGTTCAATTCATGGAGCACACTGGCAGGCAGGCCACTATGTTTCCCACGACTTACACAAACAGCCTTTCTTTGACACCCCCCAACTCTGCACAGATGGTCCCAGCACTGTCTGTTGCAAAGTTCAGTGCATCTGGCCCCTAAACCCACCTAATGCAGGCAGCAAAACAAAGCCTGGGACTCAAGTGCCCTACAGTACCTATTTGTTTCAGTAGCAGCAGGCTGGCCTTTTTTTTTTTTTTTTTAATTAAAGAAAGAGAAATTATTCAAGGAGTCAGAAAACAGGTGGATAAACAAAAAACAACCAACAATCTTCCGGACTGACACTATAAATCACTTCGAGTCATTTTAACTCTGCTTGAATTTTTAATAACCCAATTTTACAATAATGTAAATAAAAGGGCTGCAACAGCTAAGAGATAGGGAGAGCAAAATTAAAAGTCTATGTTTAGCTCTTTTTCTTCGGGATTAGGTACTGCAGTGATTCTCAAGAAATAGTTGATTTTGGGTTTTTTTACAGTGTGCCTTTTCACTACTTGGAACAAAGGTTTTTGTGAACCCAGATTTACGCTGGGCTTTGACTTCTTGCTTCTGCTTATGGATATTTTATATGGTCAATGTATCAAGTTTCTTTAATTGCTGAAGCTAAAAATAAATACTCCAGTGTGATAAAAAGTGATACTCCAAATCAGGTAGACTTTGATTAATTGTCAGTCTGCCTTTATCTGTTTTTGATATTGGGAGACTTTACCGTATGACTGCTAAACACAATAATTAAATAGACTAAAATAGATTAGTTCCACTGACATCATCATCATCTTGCACACTGACTAATTCTGCTGCTGCTGCCTTTGCTTCAGAGGAGCTGCCAGGACCAGAAGGCACAATGTAGCTAAAGGCATAATGCCCAGAGCACCTGCTTTTATGGCCTGGTGTGTTCATCCGAGGGATGCGATTTCCACTGCTGCCTCCACGTGGCTGCCTCAGTAGAAGAGAACAGAATTTTTCCCAAATTCGGGGTATGTCCTTACCTGTAGAGAGGTTATACAACCTTGCAGGATAACTTACAGCAGATAATTACCTGTCTTCTTCTGCTTAGGGTGCATGGGCTCTTAGAGGTCCTCAGATCTGGAAAAGCACTTGTATGTCTGAAAATGTTTCTGGCTGGGTTTTCTTCAACTATACTGATTGGGATTTAATAAAAGATATTGTTTTAATGCATAAAGTTTGCCTCAGTAACATCCTTATACCGTCATTTATATAATCTGCTGAAATACCACTATATACACCTCAATCATGAAAAACCCATCAGACAAAACCACCACATTTGTTTCAGCTGAGCTGTTTATCTCAGTCTGGCAAAAAAGGCCAAAAGTAAAGTATAGATCCAGTTTGTGAAATGCCAACTTTCAAATAAGTGCTCTCTAGCTGTTCTTCCCTATTCCACTGCTCAAACTACAGTTCTGTAGGTATTTTCAGAGAGAAATTTTTTAAAAGGAAATAAAATCAGCTTTTATCCTAAAGAACATGGAATCTGTACTTGCAGCAATTCAGACTTTTAGACTTCAAATGCCCCAGGCTGGTTCTGTGTAAACACAACCTCCAGACTGAGGCAGCATACTAATAAAGAGGATCTTAGAGGGAATGCCCTTCCTATTTCCTATAGATCCAGGAGTAGAAGGAATCAAAGTTGTAGATTTCTAATATTTGGGGAGTGATTGAGGCACCCTGTCATTATGAAATCAAGCAAACATACAAGAAAAACACTCCGTAAAGCAAACTTCCCTTTCTGCTGGGAACCCAGAGGGAAAAAACTCCAAACCCGTAGAGAACAATGGGCTGCTCTCACTTGCCATTTGGAAGGTTTTTAAGTGTGAGGCCGTACGTGCATGTTTATCTCCCACATCTGGTTGCTGAAATGGGCACTTAGTTTTATTACAGTCATGAGACTGTCTTCAGTGCTGCTATAAACACCCAACTGTAGGATTTGATCAGATTCAAGTATCATTTTTAAAAGTGTATTTACCATGGGCCTCAATTTAAAAGCATGGAAGATGGGTTTAGATTATAACTTGATTGTCAGACAGGGCATCTCAGAGCCTGAGACCATACTAACATTACAAACCTGGCCTCTAACCAGCTGAACTCCTGCACTGACCATCTGAGAAGTTTAAAGGTGAAATTGTTTGATGGTGCAAAGATGCATCAAAGAGAAGAGCATTCTGCACGTGAACTTCCCTGACTTTGGTCATCCACATTTGTCTTCTCCTTCAATAATTTCTCTCACATGGAAGAACTTACTTGGCTTCCTCTGTAGCCAAACAAAATGGGCTCATGCTTGCCTTTGTCCACTTGACACTTGAATCACAGAGAAGCACACAGAGGCAATTACAAATAAGAGAAAAGCTTCCCTTAAATAGGTGTGACCTCTGAACTTTGAGGAAACAGAGAACAAACTGAGGAAAATCCGTGGGCAGAATCAAGTGACCACCTAATCGTTGATCCTTCTCACTTACAGCTGGGTTAGGCAGCAGGTCATGACCATTATACAGTGCAAGTCTTGCCTCTGCTGCACAGTGAAAAGATCATGGGTATTACAGCTCCATTTTCCACTCAATGAGGGAAGAAAAACGTAAAAAAGGAAGTTGAAAATTATCAGTCCCATAACAATTTTTCTTCAAATTTTAAAGCACTGAATAGATAAAAGGTCTCTATACAATTAACACAAAATGCAAAGAGGTGTATCAGAATCTCAAGTTGGAAGAGATACATAAGGATCATCAAGTCCAGCATCCTGAGAAAAAAACTTCTGGCCTGAAAAATTTACAGAGTTGACTATAATGGTACATGTAAAAGATGGAAACTGGAGAATATTCATATGAAAAGAAAATGACACCAGGACTTGCTAGGGACAGTTGGGTTAACTTTGGTCAATTTTTATCTAGAATAAAAGGAGCAGTGCAAATGTAAACAGTTGTGGCAGTGCCTTAACTGGATTAATTTTGGATTCATTTTCCTCAGTGATCTGGTTTAGTTTAAATTTCTAGTTTGGGCTCTAGACCCTATCAATGCGATATTCAGGAACTTTCTGTCACCTCGTAAATCACCGTATAGATCTTTTTTTATATATAGATACATTTATTTCTATGTATTTAGTGTATCTGTTGACCGTCTGTGGCTGCTGCCTTGGAACTGCCATGAGCAGCACTAGGAATGAAGCACGGGAATTGAGGTCTGTGGGCCACTGCAGGGCTATAGTGTCCTTGGGATCACAGAGATACATTGGGACAGCTCAAACAGGAGTGGCAATGCTGGATACAGGCTCTGTGGGAAGGACAGGCTGGGGAGATGAGGAGGGGGAGTTGCTCAGTGTGTGAGAGCAGCAGGAATGTGAGGAGCTGTGCCTGGGACAGACAGGGAGCCAGTGGGAGCTTTGGTGTCAAGATCATAGGGCAGATGAGCACAGGAGATGTGGTGGTGAGTGCTTGCTGGGGGTCTGCCTGGTCAAGGAAAGCAATTTTCAGACTGTTTCACATCAACATGCCCTGGTCCTTGTGAGAGCCTCAAATCTCCCCTGGATGGGATGAAGGGCGACACAGCAGGACACAAGAAAGGTGCTACTGGAATTGATCCGTGCAACAAGGAAGAGAATGGAACGAGAAGGCTTGGGGCTGTGAACAGTGGAGTGTTTGCTTGTTTAGAGCACAAACCAGCAAAGAACAGCAAGTCTCAGGGATCTGATCACCTACTTAAGGTTAGGTGCATGTTAAAAGCTTTTCTGGATCAGAGCCATTATTGGCCATTAATATATACACTGGGAAAAAATCATGCCAAATAGGTCATAATGCATCCAGAGAGCAAATTGAGTCTTGAGCACTGCACATGCATTATTGTGCTCTGACCTGATGAAGCACACACAATTATACTGTTTGCTTTAAATAATGTGCCATATTTCATGTAAATGCCATAAACAGGAGGCAAGCTGGACAAAGAATTGTGTCATACCTTTTAATTGAGAACAGGAGGGTTTAAGATTAAAAATCTCCTTGGATAACACCAGTCATGCCTCTTCATAAATTGCTGAGTTTGTTAAAAGACAGCTTTCTCCTAGGAAATATAAATAAAGCCTGATGTGTTACTACCAAAAATATTTGTAAGACATTAACAAAGTTTGCAACCAGCATTATTAACTGCACAGTAACAGGGACTTTATTCATCAGGATGGGCATGTCATTTATTCCTTGTAAAATTCGTTATCACAAATATCAAACATACTGTGGATAATAAATGACCAAGCAGAAATCAAACAAAAAGAGCTTTGTTTCAAGACACAAAAGCAAATTGACCCTTTTGATTTATTTGTTTTTCTAAAGAAAGGAAATGCTCATTTAGCCGATTAAAAATGAAATGGGGAAGTTGAACAACAAAAATCTTGATGAAGACAGTACTTGTTAGAAATGTATGGAAAGATAATAAGTGATTATAACAGAAAATGTGAACAGTCCAATAAAACACAAGTATGATCAAAGCTGTGAAAAAAGCAATTAAGCTCTTTTGACACTTGACTGATGAGTTGAATGTGTATGTGGATTTAAGGCATTTAAACTATGTTCATGAACAATTCTGTTTACAAGGCACCTACAAGCACTGTTTTCTTTCATCTTGCATTATAACACAATATGGAAAATATTTTTTAAAACTGTGTCACTGGATAAATCAGATTTATTTGTTACACTTTATTAGACCATGGGCACTTTGTTTTGCTATAGGAATAACATCTTTAAGTTACTGAATAATTGGAAGATATATTGTACACAGGGTGGAAAAGTAGTTCCAGAGCTTACAGAATTTCCTTTTGGAGAAATGTCTTTATGCAAATAATTGAGTTGCTCAATATGCAAGCCTATCAAGATAACTGGAAGATTTGCTATTTCCAGGCTACAGGGAAAATTAGAAATAGTGTTGGCTAGTATCTAAATCCAAGACAAAAACTGGAACCTGAAGGCTTTTTAAAGCTCAGTATAATGAATAACATTTTAAATGAGACTAGCATTAGACTATTAGAAATTAGAAATTTGTTAGACAGTAGTTTGAGATGTCCTCTTGAATAGAAGAATTATAAAGTGGCAAAGGATAGTTGCTCCTAATTGTTACCACATTTTTGATGCAAGAGCCCAGTGCAGGAGTCAAAGGCAGTTTTACCATTGGTTTCAGTGAATTCAGGGTTTCATACCTATCATTTCTACTCTCAAATGCTTTTTTTTTTTTTTTTTTTTTTTTTTTTTTTTTTTTTGTTAAGTTACTGTGTGAGGCGCTTGACAGGAAATGAACAGATTGTAGCTAGACGTCACTTTTTCAATGTTTTGCAAATGTAAGACTGGGCTTCAGCTGTAGACTTTTCATGGGAAACTCTGAAGAAAACATCATGTTCTCTGCTATGGCAGAGGCAGCGCTGTACTGGCTGAGCCACTTAACATTGAGCACAGAACAGAAATAACTCTGTACCCCGACTAACAGGCAAGCAGAGATGGCACTACAGAGGTCAGCTTTGAGTACAAGACTCCTAAATACACAGTTCTGGAAAGCTAGTGCTTTGAAACACAGGAAGATGACAGAAGTTCCAAAGAAAAACCCCACCAAACCATCAGCAAATACAATCCAGCCCCTATTCTTGTTTGCTTGTTTTTCCAAAGGAGTGAAATAATGAAAAAAAAAAAAATTTCTTTGTGGAAAGCAAATGGGAAAAATCTAGGAAAAGGTAGTATTCTGCATTTTCACCTGCACCAGTGCAAACTGCCTTCTGCTCTCACTGCTCCTTCACACTCAGCAGTGGTGGAAAAAGGCCAAAAGAGACAAGTATGACTCAGGTTACTATGCCAAAAAGAGACTTCAAAATGGAGCAGAATGGAAATGGGCAACCTTGTTCATAGACACTCTGGTTTTGAGTGAGGGTTAGGGAGAGTGAACTATGACATGACAAGATAAGCATGTTCATACATCCAGCTTAGTTAAAGCATGTGCTGCCAAACCTGAACCAAAACCTCCATGATTCCTCTTAGAGGCTACATCACCACAGCTGAAGTCTCAGATCTTCAGAGTGACAACCAGAGCACACTAAGACAATAGATGAGATACAGGTAGGAAAACACTAACCACAAGGCACCATTGAGGCACAAGAACTGCTATTCCATGCAGCTATACAACTCTATACCCCACTGTAAGCCTTGGAAACAGAGAGTTGTAGATACAAGTACAGACTTGACAGTTTGGAAAGAAACCAAAGACTGAATTACCCTTGGATAGAACTGTCAGGGCTCTCACAGCTCGTGAAGCCTAAAACACTCCAGGGCCTGTTCTGCTGCTATTTGTGCCACATGGAGTTTGGCTTTGGGTGTCCCATGAGTCACCACAGCACTCTCAGCCTGTACAGAAGTGGGCAAGTCCCACACTATTTCTCAGTGAGGCAAGGAGGATGGTGCCTCCCAGAGGAGCCTCTTTCCAGGCATTGAACCAGTTACAGAGATTCTTGGTCTGAAAAGCTCCTGCCCTGTGTAAAACATTTCACAGTGTGCAAGAGAGAGCGCCACAAAGAGGGACTTGACAAGACAAACCCCAAGGTGTTTCTGTAATACATCAATTCACACAGCTGGCTGCCATAACTTGAGTGAATATAACTCTCCTGCACTTCAGCCTTTCAGGGCTGAGGGTTGGGTATTGCTGTTTGCCCTCCCCCTGCCTGGTCAGTCTCAATCAGCAGCTGCCCAGGTCACTTCTCTTATGCTCTTCTCCCCTCAGTCATGCATCTCCTCACAACTTCCTCTCCTCAGTTTCCTCCCCTTCCCATTTTCCTTTTGTGCTTTGTTCTCTAGCTTGTTTCTTCCTCTTCACCTCCTCCAGCATGTACATGAGTCTCCATCCCTCCCCTCCAGAAGGGCTTCCAAGTTTCTCATAAGGTCCTGGCTAACTTCTCAAAACACTACTTCTACTTACTGCTCCTGCCAGTATCCCAGTTATTTCATACCCACACCACCCTGCCTGGCCCCCCTGTCAAGAGAAGCACACTACCTCATTTCTCAACAGCAAGCAGCTCACCTGCATCCTTTCACAAACAGCACTTGCCAATCCTAGACATTAAGCAATCCTCATAGTAGCTTGGAACACAGAGGTTTTCCAGAAAACAAACAAAAAGCCATTGTGGAACTCTTTTTTTTTTTTTTTTTTTTTCCCTAGATTTTCTTGAGCCTCCTCTTGAATTTTTCACTCTCTCCAAAACATAAGCATTACAATGCTTTTATTTATTAATTTAAAATGTAATTAATTTTCTCCATGCAGTGTTTATTGACATTGCCAACGCTAATATGAAAGATAACTAAAAATATTATAATTCAGAAATAGAAATTGCTTTTTTTATTCTGTGGGGATAGAACCCAAGTGCTGCTGACAGACTAAGTACAAATGCTGACATTTGTCACCTCTCTCTGACATCTTGCACCATACTTTAAATGTAAAAGGCTAAACAGTGCCCCAGAGTTTAGAGGAGCAATTCTTTGAGTGTGAGATACACCATTTTCATTATTAAAAAGGGTAGTGAAAACTTTGGAAAAAACTTTGGATTCTGCTGCTTCAAAAGAACGAAGTCCCAAGTTACTCTCAAGCACTTCTTAGTGGCAAGAACTGAATGGAACAGCTTTGGTGGGAGTGCATAGTACTCTTGGTCTTCTTTATTGCATCACTAGTGATACAATTATTCTGGTACAAATCATATACAACCAACAGTTATCCTACTGGGATACAGACAAATAATTCGTCCAAAGCATGGTTTCACTGCTTCCACATCCATTGCAAAGCAAATAGAAGTCCTTAAGCTAAAACATTTGAAACACAAGCTACTAAGAATTTAACTGAGCCTCTATACCTTGATTTTTTAAATCATTTTTTACGTCAGATGATTTGAGACTTTTGAAATTTGTAGCCATCACAGTGGATACTCAACACAGAGATCAAACCGATCATGTTTCACTTGCAAATAATGACAACATGCTGAGAAATAGGTAATTGCATTTACTATGTGATAATCCCTTTAGATGCTCTGTCTAGGGTGATACCCCTTTTAATAAAATGTGACAAGGAAGAGGCCTAGTCTGTTGATGAGAAGCTGACAGGAAGAGGATGAAATCTCACACTCATGTTCTTATGCAGCTCTTGAAGGACTAATTAGACCTGGGGCTGAAGGGATTGCATTGGGGTATCAGTCATGGGCCAGTGCTCACCTGGGTCCTGGTTCCATTCTCTTTAATGTCAATGCTAAAACTTCCCTGTGTGCCACTGGGAGCAGATCCAGGGTAAGTTTACAGAAATTAAAGTGAAGAGGTATTAGATAGCACCAGTCACTGCTGGTGTGTTGGGCTTGGAGGAAGTTTAAAAGCAAACCCCAACTGAGGTTCAGACTGAAAAGTTCCACTGAAGCAGCAGGCAGGATCTCTCTGTCTTTGCCAGGAGCACACAGAGACAGAAATACAGAGCTGAGTGACAGCAGTGATACATGGCATTGTTATTATAGAATTAGGTTATATTAATAATTGGGTCATTCCAGCTCTTTCTGCAGCAGATAAAAATAGGGGGAAAGCACCAGCACTGTGGATATTTCAGTTATCCCAGCACAAGAGTGTTTGCCATGAAATCACTGGAACTTCAGAACTGGCTTTGGTAAGTAGTGCAAGTGTAACAGAAAGGCAATTGCAGAAAGACTTAATTTAACATTCACAGCAGTGGGACACAGCAGCACATTTGGGAGGGGAGAAACCAAAGCTTGTGTGAAAGTGAAAATAGAGTAAATACAGAGTGCTAGCATCTACAGAGGGTGTAAGGACAAGTATTTTGGATTCAAACTAGGGGTTCTTAAGGTAGAAGTGAGGAGGACAGAGTCATCTGGTTTCTTTAATTGACCACAAGTTGACTATGAATTGCTGATATGATGCAGCTATGGAAAGATGTATTGAAATTCATTAATGTTTCCCTGAAAAAGAATTATGAAATTTATTGCAAGGGTACTCATGAGGCTTTGTGCGTGAGAATATCTGCGTGCTGTTCTGGTCATAGAAAGATGA